AAGACTGTGGATGTGGAGTATGGGTGAAGATGTGACTGTGGATATGGATGTAAGTCTTCGTTTGAACCATAGTAGTACACCCACAGTGAAATCCCACATCACACTTTCAGTCACGCCTTACAGCTGCAGCTGCGCGCAGACTCAGACCCACCCACACACACCAAAATCCATCGTAATAGTAGTAGCCAAAAATCTAGTTTTGAGAAGTGTTGAAGCTAGAGCAGGATGGCAGTTCTTGTCACATGCTGACAGATTACATGTTTTTTCAGGATTTTCTCGGAAACTCAATTAAGTACTAGCATAGTAGATATAGGATGCTTGTGCGGTCGCTTGTGTTCATGTTTTCGCAACAACTACATCAGGTACGATGTTCTGTGTGTGTTGTCGCGTGCGTTCGTGAAACATTTCCGATATCTTCTGTATTGGTACATAACTGAATTTTCGCCGATACTCGTAGAAGACATCATGTGTGTTGACATGAACTCTACGAATATTACTCGAGCTAGGCTATTGTTGACTGCAATAGTTAGTCTTAAGTCTTCTGCTAGGGATAAAATACGTGTTTGAAGTATTCTGTTCGAGGTAAAGCCGATCTGATCGTCTATATAAATCTCTTCATCGTTACACCATTTAAGAATATGTATGTATATTATTCTTTCAAAATGTTTTCCAAAATCAGACAGTAGTGAGATAGATCTAACTTGATTCGTTTCTGGATATAACCCGTCTTTTGATAGGCAAATCATTTTAGCATATGTGCTTTTTTGAAGAACACTTCCTGTTTCCACAATTTTGTTGCATTCTATAGTAATAGTTTGTAGATATTCGGCTGGAAATTAATGTAATAAAAAAACGGACAACCTCTCATTATGTGACGATTTCTGTTTTATGCACTTTCCGCGATTCTTTTTTTCAATTTTGTCAAATATGATATTTTTCCGACAGGAATATGGCTCTTGCATTCAAAGTCCATATTTTGTGATACCATGACCGCAGGAACGGCACACGTTGTCTGATGTTTATGAAAATATCATTTTGAGACATTGAGACATCTACATGATAAAATTTTATTCAATGTTCGGTATGATGTTTCGTTCACTCAGAGTAAAATCTATGAATCTCTTTCATTATGTCGATATAATACAGCGAGATTAGGTGCTGATCTTTGCAAGGATTAATTATCGCTAGCACTTATGATAATTCATCATGAGACCGTTGTTGACTTCTTTTTTTATTAATTAACAGAACTCTATAGGAGACTACTGGTAATATCGTTTTTTATGGTTGTGCGAAAAAGACAAATATCGAAGTTCTTTCTATATCAAAGATTTGTACAAAAAACACAATAAAACTTTGCAATGTGTAGATGGCAGTGAATATTGGATATTGATATGAACAATTACAATCTCTTTCATTTGTTTGAATACACTAGGTGAAGCTTATATACACAGGATGTCAAATATCTATATTTATCGTATTTAAACAAAGCGCTTGATGAAACATGACATAATTTCGCATCGATTTCCCAGCGTGAACCAACTGAACTAAGAAGTTCGTGTTTCCATAATAACCAGAACAAGACTAGATATAACAACAACTTTCAAGAATAATAGTAATTATTAATGAATATAAACGTAAGAAGTCGGTAAATAATCTATATTTGATCTATGAAATTCAAAAAAGAATGTTATTTTTTTGCTAATTGAAACCTAATACCGTAAATTAAAGAATTTCTCAATATATTTCATTTCTATATTTAAGTCATTGATTTTATTTTGAGTAATAATTTTCTCTTGATTCAATCAAGTTGCAATACTTAAATTAATTTGTTTTTTCTTTCTGTTTGCTACTATTTTGAACCAAAAAATCTTATTCCCTATGGTAGTATCACATGTCTAAGAAATTCTGCTTTCTTTATTAAATGCTCTTCAATTCATCTATAAGTGACACAAACCATGTGCCATATTCTATGTTTATCCAAAAGGTACTAATTATGATAGAAAAGGGTAATAATATCACGTAAAACATCAATGTAACTTCTATCCTTCAGAGTTCAAAGTATGTTGAGTATCTTGAAAATATATTTTCTACTTGTTAAAATCGATTCGATTTGTTTTAGGCAATAGCTCAGAAAAAAAGAAAAATACATATATTGATATACTACTGATGCACCTTCTTCATAAATATTTTTTATTACCTTGAATAACTTTTTTTTTCATTATTTATCATTATCATGCAGAGAATCATGAAAAAAAACTGAAAGCAAATGATCTCTACATAACAACATTAGTAATAAAACTATAAATAACAATTCTTTGTTGTGTGTCGATTATTTAACTATTCCCATGCAAAGATAATTATTTCCTATGTGTCATTGTTTTCCTATTGACATCTGGATAGTATTTAGAGAAAAAGAACTTTATATAAATAATTAAAAAAAACAAGAGAAAAAATAAATTGTTCGATCAATATCTCATGTCAATAATACAAATGTCCCTTGATATTAGTAACATTTATGTTTTTATAAAAGTATCCAGTTAGCAAATCATCAAAATGCAATGCCTATTTACACCTGTAGATTAGAATCAGTGTATTTTTCAGGTGTACATCCCTCTAGACATGAATGAGTGGTCTCAAAAAAGAATATAAATGAGAAAATGATGGTGCAATCGAATAATATTTTTGCTTATACAACTGTCACATCACTTGCTTTTTAATAAAAACGTATGACATGCATTTAGGAAAATAAGAAATACAAGTTTAATCTAGCATTAACAAATGAACAGGTAAAAGTAGGGATGTGCAAATTTCGGTTTATTTGCCATTAACGTCGTCGACTCGCGAAGAAACATCTTCAACTGTCCTCTTTCGATTTCAGCGATCTTTTGTTTTTTGCTTCTAGATACTGCATAATGATCTAATAAAAGCCATAAAATAATTTAGTTCCCTATTGAGATTTGACTAAGCTAGCGGATTTTTAATGCGTCTATTTTCTGGATGGCAGGTTATCAGAAAATTTGTGTTTTTGAAATTTGATCTGAAGCTTTGTGCATGTAGAGAACTCAAGTAGAACAGGTTCCATCGAAAAATTTCCAAGTTTTCAACAAAGTTTCTTCCAGATATGAGACTTTCAAAATATAGACCATTTTCCACGCATAGAGTATATAGTATGTACTTTTTTAAAGTTTCATATTTCAAGAGATTTTATTCAAAACTTCTAAGTTTTTTTTTTTGGAAGCTAGTATAGTTAAGTTCTTTACATGTGAAAAGTTTCAGATCAAAATTCGATAGCTTAGTCAAATCTCAATATGAACCCAAATCCTTTCAGGGCTTTTATTAGAACACTATCTAGTATTTGTAAGCAAAAAGTCATTGATATCGAAAGAGCGCAACTGAAAAAGTTTCCTCATCAGTGTTGTTAATGAAAACTGATTCCATAGATGCACTGACAGACTGGGACCCGTGTTCACTGAAACACTAGAATAGAATACTACACAAAAGGCATATTCTGATGGAATGGTGTCTTCGTGTTGTAACGAACGCGGATACCAGTACAATCAGTGTTACAGTGGGCCTTGTGTAGATGACTCACAGTTGGTATCTCAGTAATTACATTAACAGTGCACATTCCTTGATAAAAAAACAGCATAATAGATATTATCATCATTCAATTGGTACCTATGTGATTCTTTATTGAAATTCAAATATTTACCAACTTCAATTGAAATGAATTTCGGTATGTCAAGCGTCTATGGATAGAAACAAAATACTAGCTTTTTGTCTGACAATAAGCAATAATATTGAAGATAATAACAACCAGTATATAATGGTACATTACATGAATTGAATTCAACTTTTTTTGACCATTCTAACATTAACTATGATTAAGATGTATAAACAATATGCACGAAAAATAAATCGTTATTTCTTACTAACCAACATCAACTCATATGGGACTAGGAATGCGTCAATCCCTAGAACATGATGTTAAAGATGATATTTTTTTCTCTTTATTAAGAATGTAGTTTCTGAGAATTGTTTATAACAACAGTGATCAATTCTTTTTGCTCTATCCGAAGCTGTAGTCAAAATTCATGAAATGCAAAACAAAGATTTCGGAATTGGCCAAAAATTCGTATTTTTTAACTTTTTTTCAATCAAATTCAACTGATTTGAAGACCTATGTTTTGCATTAGATAAAATCTAAAAATAGATTTGGAAAAAGTGTTCAAAACTGATCATAATTGAAATGAAGAATCGTTAGGAGTCCGAAAATTCTCAGTCTTGGAAATATTCTAAACTTCGATTAGAAATTTAAGGAGTTAGTTTATCCTTGCTTACAAAAAGACATGTCTAGTATTGAGAATTACCGAACTCTTAACTACTCTTTATGTCATTTGTGATCAGTTAAGAACATTTTTTCCGAATCTAAGAATAGATTATGTCTAATGCAAAACATAGATATCAAAATCAGCTGGAATTGATTGAACAATCCAACGTTTCGATCAGTTCGGCAGCCTTTGTTTTATATTTCATGAATTTTAACTACAGTTTTGGATAGAACAAAAAAATTGATCATGATTGATACAAACAATTTATAGAAACTACATTTTTAATAAGAAAAAGAATGTCATCTTTGATATCATGTTTTAGGAATTGATGAATCCCTATATGGGAATACTTGTTATTGATATGATGCCAAAAATGAGATATTTTTCATGTCTATTGTAGATAGTAAATAATCGTTAGTATATATAAACAAAATAGATGCCAATGAATTAATCAATATGACAAGTTGATCATATCGGATTGTCAGTCTTATACAGCATGTAATATTTTTCTTGCTAGAATAATCTTTTCATTATAAATATATTGACTTTTAAATCAAGAATTTGAATACGAGTTCAGGTTAGTTTATTTATAAATTAATAATTATTCTGAATATTAATATAATAATTCTACGTAAAATACCATCAATAAACAAACAAATTTATTTCAATATGAATGACATGTATTCTCGTTCTTCATTAGGATCAGTTAATATCCTTAAATCAGAAAGAATTTATTTTAAAGCAATTCGTTCTATTAGTTTGCAATTATGTACATGTGCATTAATTATAAATTGGTTACGTTTAGGATTTATATATTTATTTCCAAAAGTTTATCCAAATTTAATTCAATCGTCATTAAATTTATGTATAACAGAAAGTTTTTTTCTTCATGTTTTAACATTTTTTCATCTACATTTAATAATATGTTTACGACTTTATTGGCATTATTGTTTTATATTTGAAAAATATTGGCAAACAATAACATACCGTCGAATTTTATTTATTCTTTTATTTACTTTTATTTGTTTATGTTTATTTACATTGCCAAGTATCAGTAATGATTGGGCATCAATTATATATGATGAAATTTTACAAATTTGTATTGTTAATTATCTATTTCACTATTCATATACGTTTTTTGTATTAACATTTACTTGTTTAATACCATTTGTTTTAATAATCATATCTCATAAATTACAAATGAAAGCTATTGAAAATCGAATATTTAAATATATTTCAATGGATGAAAAATTAAATCTTTCTCAACTAAAAGTTCAATTTCAATATTCTTCCTATATTATTCTTATTTGGTCTTTTATCAATATTTTACTTTCAATATTTCTACATACACCAATTAAATATTTACAAATAAGAATTATTTTATATTATTCACAAATATATTCATTTCTATTAGATCCAATTATATATATATTGATTTTACGTTCATTACCTACAATTACTTTATTAAGACCGACAAATAAAGTTTATTTCATTTAAAAAAAAAAAAGAATCACAATTTTGTTTGTTTATTGTATTTTATTTTTGTTTTTGGGATAAATAAAGTTTCTTGATTTAGTAAACATATGGTATCATTCGAAATTTTGCAATTTTACAATATCGACCCCATGTTTTCTCTCCATATTTTTTTCGACAACGTTGATCATCACGAGCAGCACGTTGTGATAAAAGAATACAAAGTGATACGGGTAATATATAAGGCACAAATGATATTGTGCCAGAACATAATGCAATTGATAAATATACAAGTATTTCACCGGTATAATTTAAATGTCGACCAATACCCCAAAAACCTGATAAAAGAAGTCGTTCTTCAAGAAGTTCAGCTTTTTTCCCCCAAATTTTAACTTGTGAACCATACTTTCGTACATCAAATTTTTGCCAATTTGATTCACGAAATACATAATGACCAATAAAATGAAGAAGTACTGTTGAAATTATCCATGTCATAGATAGTGGTTTATGAACATTATCAGCAACAAACCAACCAGCTATACTATATAAAAATGGTACATAAATAAGATCACCCCAAACAAGCATAAAACCAAAATGATCTTCAATTATATCAAATGTCCATAACATAAAATCTTCACGAATATAATGTGTTAATAAATAGAAATACCAAAATATATGATAAAGAATCATTCCAATTGTTAATGAACCATATAAAGATATTTGAGCTTCAGCTAAACTTAAATTAACTAATGCTAATCCTATAAGACTTGGTTGATAGAAAAAAACTTTCAAATCAACACCAAATAACATTGGATCTTTTTCACGACCGTTCCAATAGTCAATGGGACGATTAGCATTTGGAGCATTTTGAACAGCTTGTGCACGTTGAAATAAATATAAACTAGATAAAATTGCAAAGATGTTTATTACTATAAAAAATGATATGAAATTCTGTATAATAAATAAAAGCGAAAAATGTCCTGTGCAATAACCAACAGGTATTAAAATTGTTAGTAGAATAAATAGATAAAGGCCAGTCAATTTATATGTTTTCTTTGGACTTTTAGCTTCAATACTTGGTAAAAATCTTGATGCAAGAAACATGCCGACAAAATAAATAAGAAAATAACCAGCTGCTTTAATAATACCATCAATTGATGGTGATTCAACATAATTCCATACTGATTCCGATTTTATAGTCATATTTATTGTTTCTTTCTCCTCTCACTTTCTTTTTGATTATTGCCTATCTACAAACAAAGACAAACAAAAATCAATGTACAATCCAAGAAATATATAAAAAAAAAGAAAGAAAAAAAAATTGATTTATTGTTAAATTTAATCCTTTTTTTTATTAACTGATTTCACACTAGCTGCGCTACTTCGTCGTCGATGAAATACTTTATGTGATGATGCTGTTGTACGTGACGATAATGGACGATGATTGCTACAATCATGTCCATCAGCACCACCCATGCCATATAAATGTTCAAATAATTCACATGATAACTCATTACTTAATGGTGGACGAACACTTGTTCTATATGATGGTGATTTTAATATTTGCAATTGATCAAACATTTTTGAAACATCTTCACGCCATGTTGATATTGATGATGAAGTAAAAACTGCACTTTGACTTGTTAATGGTGATGGAGCAAAATCAGCACGATTTTTAGCTAGATTAACAAGTGATGTATCAAGACATTCCTTACGTTTAAGTGCTATGATACGTGATTCAATTGGATCAATAAATTTTGTTGGTGACGAAAGAACATTTTCATTATTAAAACTAATCGTACTTTGACGACGTTTACGTAGACGTGATGAACTTGATATAAAAAATGGTACAGATGCAATAGAACCACCATAAGATGATGATGATGTCATGGAACGCATTCGAGTTGGATTCGATAAACGTCGTTCAACTATTGGTTCAGTAGGTACTTTTGACGGATTATCACGTTCTTGTAATGTCATTTCATTACGTAGTAAATTTTGACAACGATCTAAATTTAATTGACATGCAACATCATATGCTGTTAAACCAGAACGATTTTTAATTGTTAAATCAACTGAATAACGTTTCATTGCATTAAGTACATATCGAACAATTTCAATATTACCAGTTGAACATGCATAATGTAAACATGTATTACCATGAATATCTGCTGAACGACTAAGATCGAAATCAAGTGAATCAAGATATCGTCGTACGAGAATTGATCGTTGAGTTATAATAGCATAATGTAATGCGTTAAGTCCACGTTGATCATGATCTTCAATTTTAGCACCATATTCAAGTAATGTCATTGCTATATTTTGTGCCCAACAATTATTATCGATGAAACAACAATAAATAAGGCCAGTTCGACCCTCGCTATCGCGTTCTCTGGCATTACCTGTACCGGATTCAAGTAAATAACGAATTAAGGAAAAATATCCTCGTTCAAGACTATATAAAAGAGAACGTTGAACGAGACCACGTTCTAATTTGATCATACTAATTGATGGAGCTTCACTAAATGGTAGACGTGAACGAGCTGAAGGCATTCTTGATGAGGGTACAGGTGGATGGATTTCATTCATCGTAAAAACGAAAACTTGTATGAAAATATGTAACTGTACTTATGTTTCTCACCTCCTGTTTCACTTGAATCGTCTATTCTCACTATGAAACAAAAGAAAAAAGGCAAAAAGAAAAAAAAAACATGACTGACGATAAGTGTTTGTTCCATTATGCATTAATTGTTGTTTTGGACAAATAATAGACGAATAAAAAAAAAAAAAAGGTGAAAGTGAAATGAAATATCAGAGTGATCGAATTAATAAAATGTTGGTAATCATATATGATTCCTTTTTTTTTTTTCATTTTTATTTTATTTTCTTCCTTTTCATTATATTTTTCTTAGGAACAGAAAAGAAAAAGAAGTTTTTCTCTTTGAAATCAAAAACAAAAAACAACAAAAACGATAGTACATAAACGGTTGTTATATATGATGAATTTTAATTTTTGTTACTACTGTTGTTTTTTGTTTTACTTTTCTTTCTTATTATTATTTTTTGTTTTTAAAATTTCAATTTGTGTGGTAAAACACCATTCCAAAGTTGAAAACGACTCTTAATATACCGACGAAGAAGTTGTGAGTCGGCATGAGCTTTAATAGCACTAACAACAACGGCATCGGTATTACGTTGCGCTTCACGACGTTCATTGCTAAGTTGTGGTTTCTAGAAAAGAAAAACAAAATTTTTTTTTTGTTTTAACAAAAAAAAAGGTTTCAGTTGTTATTGTTATTTCAAGTTCAGATTTTTTATAAAGGTTTATAGCAAACTTAAGGGCAAATTGATTATTCTACTTTTTTTACTTGAAAAAAGAAGAAGAGTTGTTTTTACACGAAAAAATTTTGAAACGCTTTTTATCATAATTCCAACAAGCTTGGTAGTTATTTTATTCGCGATCAATTATCTTATCATGCTCAAATATTACACTTGTATAAAATCTATATTTTTGTATATCGTATGCACGAAGACACAAATAGAAAATGTTGAACTTTTTCTACATTATTGCTGGAATTATGTTATTAAACGAAACTATTTCTCAGCTAAATACTGAACCTTTAATCAACATATATTTTAATCTAGCGAGAGAAGTCTTCCAACGGATAAATCGCTTTTGAACTAAAATTATATACATTATGTAGATCCAAATGAGTAAAGAACTCGTGCTCCTAGCTTATTCCTGCGGACATAGCGCGCATTTACGATGCGTTTTAAATGGATACAGTGGTGCAAAAAAAAATTATTTTAGATTTTCGAACTGAAACTTTGCATAACGATAGGCATTAATGAGAGTAATTTCAGATCTTTTGATTTACTACTATCCTAAAAATAAGAATACCAAATCTATCCGTTTATACAAGCAATATAGACGACATAGTATTACCATAGTTTATCTTAGGATAGGAGCAGTCTATTTTCGCTCAACCCTATCTCCATTCATATTTTCAAAGTCAAAATTTGAAATTTTCCTTTTCTGAACCATAAAATTCATTCAAAAAATACTGTAAAAGTACAGTATATCTGTGGCAATAAGCTAATGACAAGTACTCTTTCAGCATATTCAGAACTCATTTGTATCTGCATAATGCATCTAGTCTCGAATCAAAAGTAATTGGACAGTTCGAGAATTTCTATCGTTAGACACCATATGAGCAAAATAATTCTATTATCGTTACTTTCTGTGAATGGAAGTCCGATTATAATCAATATCTTATCTAGACGTACAGATTCTACCTATGGACATTAGGACACTTTGGACAAATCTGTGTTTTATCCAGATTTTCTCCTTCGGAGGGCAAACATCTACTTTCGTAAGAACGTCGTCCCCACGCTGGATCAAATGTTGCGAGACATGTTTCAAGTTTTGAGAAATTTTTTCTCTTGTAGTAATAAGACTCTCAGCTCCTGTAATTTATTGTGCAATACAATCGATTAGCTTTTTCTATGTGAAGTAAATTGATTTCTCTTTGGCTCTCTTTTGAATGTTCAAGTGAAACAGAGAAACCGACTTTTCATTTATTTTGATGATAGAGGAGAATTTCTTTTAAAGAACTTATCTCTAGTCATAGAAAACTTTTTCGTTTTAGCGATAGATTCTATATCTCTGTTCGTATCTGGTAAGAAGACATAGATATTCAAGCATTTCATAGTATAAGTTCATCGATTGGAAAATTCTCATGCCTACTAAGAAACTTAGTTGATATTCTTATTCTAAATAATAAATCTAAACAAATAAGATTATGTTACCTCTTTCTTAGAATCAAAAATATCTTTTTCAGCGTTTTTCTTAGCTGGACGAACACGTTTAAAGAATTTATCATCTAAATTATCAAATTTAGCCGATGATAAATCGAGTTTTGTGCTTGTTGCAATAACATAAATTTGATTTACACGACGTAATGGTACGCCATTTAATTTATGTGGACCTAAGTTAATAATAAGAAACAAATATTCATTATCAAAATTTTTTACACGATGTTTACCAGTAACTAATAAAAGTCCAGATGATAAATGTTTAACGACAACAGCACGCTAAAGAATAATAAACTTAAAATAAAAACAAAACTTCGATTTTATTTTCTTACTTTTCCAGCATGTTTACCAGCAACAAGAATAACAACAGTACCGGGTGTAAGTGTTGATCGAAAACGGCGTGGATGATCACTAAATCTTTTACGTTTAACTGAAAACTTCTTTGGTCGTTCTTCCGTTGCATAATAACGAGGCTTAATAGAACAAAATATTCAAAAATTATTTACAAATGTAACAACAAACAGAAATGTTGATCAACCTACAAATCGTTTTGTTCGTACAAGACGTTCTTTACCATTACGATCACCACCAACAGGTTTCTTTTTAAGTGCTGGTGTACGTTGTTTTTTCTTTTGAATACTACCAGCTGTTTTCTTCGTTTTATCATCTTTTAATTTAGCTTGATCAGCTTTCCATTTACTTATACGATATAATGCACGTCGATGGAACATACGACTACGTGAAAAACGCATAAGACCATTGCTACTTAATAAACGATTTGAATGTGAATTAACGACCTTTTTACCAGTTGCAGTTGTTTTAGGTTTTTTAACTTTTGAACCAGCACCGCGTGTACTGACTAAAGTTTGTTGCGGTTGTTTAGTTGTTGTTTTAACGACGGTTGTGGTCGTTTTTTTTGTCGTCTTAGCCGATGGCGTTGACATGATCGAATTTTCTTTTTCTTTACTCTGAAATAAAAGTAAGTTGTTAAATTAGTACAGATATTTTATTTTATCAACAAACGAAAAAAAAAAACAACAACTGAATATGAATCTGATGATGTTTATAAAATTAGGTATAATCATCCTCCAATCGAATATGAGATGTTTTCGAACATTTGTATCATGAAATATGATGATATATAGAATTAATTTTAGGGAATTTTTAATTAAAATTTATTACGAAATTGCTTATTTTCATTTGAAAATTATTTATTTTATATAATATTTAATTTGATTGGTAGTTCATTTCTTCACGAAATGAATCATCATTTATTATGAGTCATTTATTATTATATGTTGTTTCTTTCTTTCCTCTTTTTTTTTTTTCTCCTTCTCATTGTTGATTTACTTGCAAATCTTTATTAATTAAGAAAATCAATATTCTTAATTAATGACAAAATAATCGAAATAATATGTCACATTTTCCAAAAATAATTATAATTAATAATATGTTTTCTTAGAAAATATGATTGTGCTACCCTATATTTTATTCTGTGTCTGTGACAAGCAGATGAGTGACACTCTCATGTTATATGTTTGTTACCGTGGCATCCATAGGTTTAGAAAGAGAATGCATCGTGCGCAATTCCATCATCACTTTTCACATGTGTTCTCTCATATTTTATTTCCTTGGCCCCAAAACACATTGTTTTTCGATAAATAAGAAAAGCTTTTCTTATCTAAACTTCGAAAAGAATTATTATTGGTTATTTCTCAACAGATGTGCTGCTTATGACGAAGAAGTTCATGTTGTCTGTTTACATACATTATAATCTAATGATTTTGGTCAAAATAAGCAAACAGTTTGATTAGCCACATATTACAATATATATTCTATATGATTGTCGAAAACAAATTTATCAAGAAAGTTTATCTATGAATGTTGATTCTGATTTGTACAATTCATGAGATTTATCTAATCGTCCGGGTGGCCTTGTTATTGAAGATATAAACAACAGACAGATTGTGCGCGTCCAACTCATACTCCGAGGCCATTGATGACGTCAGCAACAGTAGTAGAAGTAGAACTTGTAAAAGTCTCTATCTCCCTCTCTTCTCCTTTCGATAATACCATCGTCGCCCAATAATCATTATGAATATATGTGCGGGATCAACATGATGTGTCGATTAAAGTAAGACTAAGACAAGCATAATTCTCATATGATTCTATCGGAAAGGCACAGCTTGATATGCAATGATGCTAGTGTGTATATGTCTGTATGTATGTGTTGAGACACGAGTCTAGGAGAAAGAGGTGATCATAGTAGGACGGCAGCATACGACTTGTTGTCCATAATTGCTATACGCACATACAAGCACTATTGTGCCATTTGTTCTCTTTCCGTTTTTTAAGCAGGCGAGAGAGTCAAGCGGGCTCTCTGATAACATAAATACAAGCAATAGCAGCAGCCGTTAGAAGACAAAGACGACTTGCCGGGTTATATGCATAGAAATAAAGAGAAAGAGAACGAGAGAGAGAGAGAGAGACAGAGAGAATGCAATTTCTTCTCTTTCCTTTCAACTTGTTGCTGGCCTTCCTCCTTTGCATAGATCTTGATTGTGCGCACACTGTACGGCGCTTCTTGTTTCAGAATGTTAGGATGTAATATAGAAATGTGAGAAAAAGAGCATAAGAATCATATATGTTACTTAGTTTTTTTTCCTTTTTGTGTCATATCTTGGATTTATTTTCAAGATTTTTTTAATTAATATCAATATCTATCTGTTATTAATACAATTTTTAAAACATGGTACTTAAGCTACCACCACTTGAATTTACTGAAGCACTTACAGATTCGCCTGAATTTCGTGAAAAATTACGTCAACATGAAAATGAACTTGAGAATACATCAAATGCAATAAAATCATTAATTAAAAAATTAAATGAAGTTATGGTAGCAAATAAAAGTATGTGTTTTAATTAGAATTTTAAATTAAACAAAAGAAATATATTTCGTTTATAGCTTTATCAAAAGCATCACGAGGTGTTGCAGAAACATTAAAAAGCTTTAAATTTTTCGTTGTCGGAAGTAAACAAACAGAAGAAGAACGAGATATAGGTTTGTTAGTATAGCAAAAGTCATTGTTAAAGTTTATTTTTTTAAAATTAGAATCATCACTTTCATATATGGGTGAAGTATTACATCGAATAGAGGAAGCAAGAGATGCACTTGTAAGTTTTACTGAATAAAAATTTATTTATATAAATATTTATTCTTTCTTTATAATAATAGAATGTTTCATCTGAAACATATTTAAAAAAATTAGATGAATTTCGAAAAACAACAATTGGAAAAGCAAAAGTATGTGAATAGAATAAAATTTCAAAAATTTTTCTATTAAGTTTTATTTATTAATATTTTTTTATAGAATAAGAAAAAAGAATTTGATAAAACAACACAACGTTATTGTACAATGATTGAAAATAATATGAAAATACCAACGAAACGATCTGATTTATTTCAAGAAGTAAATTATATAAATGATTATTTATGGTTTTTTTATATAATCATGTTTAATTTTTTAGGCAGATGCAAATCTTCAAATGCAAACAAAAAAATTTCGTGAAGAAACACTTGATTATGTTTTTTTATTACAACAAGTACAAGAGAGAAAAAAATTTGATTTTGTTGAAACAGTAAATTAGAATATTAGTTTTCCTATACGTTTAAAAAAAATGATTCAATTCTTTTAGCTTTTGGCTTTAATGCTTAATTTTTTATCTTTTTATCATGCAGGTACGAAAAAAGGGGAAAGAAGTTTTTTATTTTTATTAAATAAAAATTTTAGGACAAGAAATTTATAAAGAATTTGATTATTTTATTCGATTTTTACATTATCGTGTATTAAAAGTATGAAACAAAAAATTCTTTAAAAGATAAAAAACTTTGTGTATATTTTTAGTGTCGAGAAAATTTTGATTGTTTTCAACGTGAAGGTGAAGAATTAAAATGGAAAATGTTAATGGTTCGATAAAACAAATAGTCATATTCGAATATTTATTGTTTTCTTTTCTAGAGACCAGAAGAGCATTTACTTAAAAATCAAGAATTCGATCGTGAAGGTTACTTATTTCTTATTGAAAGAAGTATGTAGAAATAATATACATCAATGTACTTTTTTTTTATTTCAAAAATTTTCTTTTAGATAAAATTATTGGTACGACAGCAGCAACTAAACATTATTGCCAATATAGAAAAGATATTAATCTACTTCGAATGATTACTTTTACACAAACAAGTACAAAGCAGGTATTTTCCAGAAGTTTGCTTTTCATGATTATTTATTTCGATAGTGATATACAAAGAATCTATATGAAAAATTCTTTGCATACGTTGCTGTAGGTAGAGATAGTCAGTAATTATTAAAATTATCAAGTAATAAATATTGAAATACTTACAAGCTGAATTTCTGAATCAAGAATGGTCTATTTTATGACAAGAGTGATCTTCTAGAGAACTTCATAAAAGATTTTCCACATAACTGATTTCCTCAAAGTTTAACCAAGAGCGAGAGTTTCAATATTAGATATCATCGAGTTGGTCCTGGACTCGATAGACTCTGTTTGGTACATTCCTAGATGTGTATTGACTAGTGTGAAATATTTTTATCTAAAATTATGAGAAGCAGAATAGAATACCGAAACGATTTGTGATACTAGTAGGAGAAAAACAGCAACGCGAGATGAAGAGAAATATATCGAAAAATTGAGAGAAAAGATATCCTTCCCAATACTATGAAAGTTATCAAACAAACAATTCCAGTTATTAGAACCAATTTTGAGGATGTTCTGTGTCCTTATTTAATCATTGAAAACACAAGAGTATCGAACTAGAAGTAAGACATTACTTCTGGGATAGAAGTTTTTTCAGATACAATATTAATCAAAATAATAAATGAGTTCTCTATAAACTAAGATTATTCTAATAACAATGTTTTAAATTAAATGTAATAATAATAAGAATTATTTTTCAAGATGAATTTCGAAATTCTGGACACGAAAACTTATCTTAATACTTGACATGAACAAACTGAGACTAGAAACAAGATCGAAACTAAAATAAATGATCTTGTATTCATATTTAACTGATCATACAATTAGAAAGATGTTAGTGAAGAAAAATATTTTAGTATAGTAGCCAGATATTTCAATCATATAGAAAGTGATATAGATTAATTTTCAATTCTAGGCATACAACATTTTTGCGTAGCTTGCTATCAAAACTGAATGTTTTTTTGACTGATGAGGGAAGTTCTCCAGTTGATTAATCGCCTTTGAGCCGGGATTATGTGCATCATGTAGTCCCAAATGAGCTTTGAATATCCTGAAAAGAATACGTGCCTGTGAAAGCTTGACATATTTTTGATTAACTTCTATACTGAAATAAGAATATGGAATCTGATGTTATAATATATGAGTGATATAAAACGCACACTTTTACCATAGTTGACTTTTAAGATAGGAGTAACAACAAGATCTGAAACATTTACAAACAACTATTCTCGTTAAGGCTTGTTTCTACACAAAGTTTCAGGTCGAAATTCGAAAATTGATGTTTCTCGTGTTCTTGAGAAGAATGACAGCATTCATTTTAAAAAATACTGTAAAAGTGCAGTATCTTCACAGTAATAAGTTAATGTACCAAACTCTCTTCATGATATTCAAAACTCGTTTGCATCTACATAATGCGCATAGTCTCGATTCAAGAGCGATTAATCAGTTGATGAACTTTCATCTCAAGACCAGAGAAGACTAGTTGCAACCATACCTATCTAGGAAATCTCTAAACACGAAAATTTCATTGAAATTAATACTTAAATCACAGTACTTATCATACACCTGCAAGGTTTTATTTTCTATATTTAATTCTAGTTAACTCCATATGATGTATTTGTTCGTCATTGTGTTGTTCATCCAGCTGATGAAAAATTAGATAAACGCTTCATGTTTGATTTACATATTATTGAAAAAGGTGGATCATCAGATAAAATGTCAATATTTACATTTCAAGCTACGAATGAAGAAGATTTCGAAGGATGGATATCGATCACTGGCGGACAAATAAATGTATCTAAACCAGAACTATCATTAAAAACTGAAATGCAAAGTAAAAAGTTGTATAATAAGTTTATAAAAAACACAAAATCATGTTGTCTAATTAGATGAATTGGATGATTCGGGTATTGATTTTGTTAAAAAATGTATTCAAGTTATTGAACGACGTGGTCTTGATGAACAAGGTCTTTATCGTATTGTTGGAATGCAATCGAAAGTTAATTCTTTAGTAGCTGGTCATTTTGGTAATTAGCAATAGTTTTTTAAATGTAGAAAAAAGTAAAATTTTATTATTTTAGATGTACATAAAACACTTGCACAACGATTAGAAACTCCTGTTGAAGAAGATATGGAATTAAAAACTATATGTTCAGCACTTAAACTATTTTTACGAACATTAAAAGAACCTGTTTTTACATTTAAATTACATAATCGATTTATAGAAGCAGCAAGTATAAAGATTTTCTAAGATGTACTTTTGTTTCTTGTTTATTTTAAAAATTATTTCTTAACCTTAGTGATTGATGATAAAGCTGAACGTATTCGAACACTTCATAGTTTAATAAAAGAATTACCTAAACAAAATTATGATTTATTATATATTCTTATGACACATTTATATAAGTAAATAGTAATGTTTTTAAATGACATCAATTACAAAATAAGACTTGTGTTTAGAGTATCACAACATAATGAAAAAAATCTTATGACTCCTGTCAATTTAGGTGTTTGTTTTGGTCCATCAATACTTCGACCAGAATTTGAAACAGTTTCATCTATATATGATATTAAATTTCGTAATGCTATTGTTGAATTAATTATCATACATTATGAAAAAATGTTTAAAACTAAACTTGAACAACAAGATATTGATGAAATGGTTGGTTCAAGTGAACAAGATCAATCTAGTGGTGTAAATTTAACCAATTCATTATCATCATTAGTTGTAATAATTTATTTTAAATACGGAAACAAAACACAAAAATAAACTCCATCGATACTATTGATTTCTTTTTAGTCTCTTGCAAGACGAGCACCACCACCGACTAGTGAAATGATTGAAACAACAGCTGATGCACGTCGACGAGGTTTATATAATCCAGATTATCATATCAATGAAACAAATAAACATTTATTTCCTCATATGCCAGAAGATAATATTAAAAAAGAATGTAAGTAGAAAATCATTCATTAATATAAACATTCGAAAGTTACAAATCCATTTCAAAATTAGACTAAAATTAAATGATGATTTTATATAAAATAGAGAAATAGATTAAAAATTGAAGTATTCATGATATAGAATTTAATGAATTCTGATAAATATTGTTGAGATATATGCTGAGAGACAGTCAAGACTTGAAATTAGCTACTTTTTCATGATATGATCGGGCAAGATTCAAAACTTGAGTTGCAGTTCGAAGAAAATTTCCTTTGCCAAGCTTTTTTTCCACAAGTTATATTGCTTTTTAAGCTAAACGAACAAACAAAAGATGCTCGAAGCTGTTTGCACTCAGAGATGATCATTATGCGTAACTCAATATCTTCCGACATTGACTTTTTAATTAAGGGAAACAGATGGGAAGTGTACCATATTTCTGCATGAAAGTTTGTTTTTCGATTTTCACTTCTTCGTGAGCTAGCACACAGTCGAATATGATCTGTATGAAGAAACAAAAACAGATCTCATTCTCTATGCACATTTCGACTGTTACATATTACTGCCCAACTTATAGTAGTTACTTTAGGCTCAACAATAATTCTAAAGAATGAACGAGGTCTGCAAACTTATTTTTCTTTTTTTGCATATGCTATTTTCAATGACGTGCTATCTTACTGGATGGCCAAAATAAAAAGAAATCTGTGACTCAGAAAAATGGCGTAAAACTCATAGGATTTCCATTTTTCTAAAAAAACCGGTACACTTTTTGTAGATTCACTTGTTGTTCGGAACCAAAGAGTTAGATAAACTGTTATTAGCGACTTTCGCTATTGATGATAGTTTATTTTTGACACATGTTCTTTTTATGTCAACGACACCCTCATACGCATTAACACACTCGAGGCAGTACAGAACACTGCATGTACACGAGAATTGCAATCAGTCTAAGCTATTACGATAGTCTATTTTATTCCTATTTGAAATTCGCAGTCTTCTTTTTACCAAAAAATTTTCTTTTTCTTTATGGTTTCTATCATTTATGACGGGCATAACGTTTAGAAGAAACAATAAGAACATTGGATCGGATCATCCCGAACAAAAGAACTTCGCCAATTAGGCTCATTGATTTTTGTGAATCAGTTCATTTCGAGCTCTGATGCATACTGATAAATAGAATCATTCTTATCTTCAAGTTGAATGTGATCTATGTTGAAATGATTAATATGTGTTTACGAAATTAAAAAAAAGCTCGAATATCTTCAAACTTTTTCCTCGTGACAAATAAAACATTAAACACGATGAAGTACCGAAGTTATTTCTTGAAAGACTTCTCTTGTATTTGGAACCACATAATATCAAACTATGTCATAATTTCAATGTGTCTTTTCTTTTTCTAGTCAGTTCAAGCAGCAGTTTAGAATCTCTTAGTAATGTATCACCAGCTGGTACACAATCAATACATAGTAAGCTTAAATTTTAACGTATTCTATTCGGTTATACAGATTTTTGCATTTCATCATATTAAATAAGGTTCCAATGCATTCAGTATGATCAGTAGTCAAGCGCGCTCAACTTCATCATCATCTTTTCTAAAGCAATTATCATTACCTGACAATCAAAGTCGTTTATCGACTACAAATACTAACATTTCAATATCGTTAAAAACTGAACCAATTAGCATTTCACCGTCAACAATAACAACAACAACGAGAACAAACGTTACAACTCCTACGTTGAAATTGTTCGTAGATAATTAGATTTTGTTTTGATTGTAATATTATTTTTTTAAATTTTTATAGACAAACTCGCGCCATAACATTATATCCTTGTACAGCTGATAATGATTCCGAATTGTCATTTAATGCAAATGAAATTGTTACTCAGAGTGAGTTTAGCAAAACAAAGTCTTTAAAAATAACATAATATGAATCTATGTGTTCTAGTTCGACGGTCGAAAGAACCTGGTTGGGTAAGTTATATTATATTCTTCATTTTTATGATAAGATAAGACTTTCTTTATGTTTAGTTAATGGGTACAATCAATGGTAAAACTGGTTTAATTCCAGAAAATTATATAAATTTTACTGGTGGTGTATGAAAATTTCTATTTGTTTTTCTTGTCGTGATATTACGTATATCTACCTAAATTCATCTTTTACTTGTCGATCTTGTCACACGACTCTAGTCGATTTTAATTATAGACTAAGCGTATTTGAATAAAACAACAAAAAGCGAACATTAAATATAAGAATATTTATTTTGTTTCTTTCGTGTTTATGTGCGTGAAAATTAATCGTATTTTTATTTTGTAAATTGTTTCACAATTATTATTCATTCTATGACGCGTGCGTGTGTGTTTGGGTGTGTAAGTTTTTCTTATTGAATGATATTCAATCTTTTTTATTGTAACTGAAATAACAAATTAATGAGAAACAAACATTTCAACTAGTTTTTCTTTTTTGCTACATATATGTATTGGTTTTGAATATCTTGCGTATTACTACTCGCAATTTTTCTGTACACTTTTATGCATGTACATGTTGAGTGGTTGCACGAAAACATTGTTTGTTATTGATTCGATTTTTCTTTGCTATCTAAAAGAAGAAAGGAAGGAATTTGATCGAATACTAAAATCTTGTACTAGTGAATTTTTTTTAATGATTGGACATTAATCATGTAACGGATAATCAAAAAGTCATTTGACAAAATATTCCGTCATTCTTCGACCTCTTCAATTAACATATATAAGGGTTTAACTACAGAACGAGATATATTGAGAATTGTGCAGAAAGACTTCCTCTATCTAACAGCTTATGTATTATCAAGTTCTATTGCGTAGCGTTAATATGTCAATAGTGGGCGCGATAAAGATGGCACTATCTCTATTAACATGTCATCGATACGCCCTAGAATTTGATAATGGAGTAAGTCTTTCTCCAGAAGCTTGTATATATATGTTCCTTTCTGTAGTCAAATCATTATAGTTGTCTTTGAAAATATTAGGTTGAAGTCAGAATTTTGTGTTTTTTCTGAATATAGATTCAAACTTTTTGTAGGATTTCTAGTTGAGGAGTTGTGAGCTAGTTTTTTAGAAGCTCATAAATTAAGTTTGAGCTAGAGCTGGGTAAGCGAGACTTCAGTACTCCGAAGTACCATACTTCGACGTACTGAAATCTTGTTCCCTCTATTGAAAGCTTTTTTTCTTCTGGTCGATACTTATATGCGTACTACTCATGCAGATAATTGGTGCTCGTACTCGTACTCAAGTACAATATTTGCCGTACTTGTACTTAATCAGTCAGTATTCTTACTCGAAAAAAATTCGTTGTTGTTTGGACGGACTTCAGCGCACCAAAAATTACTCAAACTAGAAGCGAAAATTATTTGCAATATAGCAAATAGAAAAACAAACATCACTCTGCAAAATGGTATATTAATGATTAGTTTGCGTCACGATATTTGTTTACACTGAGTATTGTGATAAGAGATACTACGGCAATTTAGACAAGTTTCTTGATTTCTAAAGAAAAACAGACTTGCTAAATGAGCTTGGCCATTATGAAACTCTTGATTCTTATATGACCTTACAGAGAATAGTTTTGCGTTTGATTTAGTATCTTGAAGACTGAAACTTTTCGACTCCAAGAAACTCTGAAAATTCTTTTTACTAGCATATGCACTTCTTTTTTCTGCCACTTGCTAATAAGAATGTCTGTCGAATGTTTTTTTTCTTCTTCATTACTTAACATATGAAGAATAAAGTTGTTACGATGTAAGAGTAAAACTACATAACCGTTTTACTGATGTAACTCCATAATTGATTTCGAAAAATATTTTTCACGATCATTCTGACTTCGTCGGAGTCCAATGCACAGCTCTGCATAAATTCGATGAAAAAAAATGTTAACTCTCTCGGTCCAAACTTAATTTTTGCATTGCTAAAAGATCAACTCATCATTTTTAAACCATAAGTTCAAGTTGAATTTTGAATACATATTCATAAACAATATCAAATTTTAATTCACGCTTAATGTTTTCAAATTTCTGTACACTCTTTAAAAAGACAGAAAATGAATAAATATACTGTCAAGTTATTTTTTCAATCAACCTTTAGTCATTTATGCATGACAATCAATTTGATTATATAATTATTTTGCATTGATCGATCAGATATTTTATAAAGAAGAAAACTATTATCAAATGGGAAATTTGATAACATCGTTTCGTTATTCTTTTGCCGAATAACAAAAAAAATTGAACGATTAAAAATTAACGAAAAAGACAATGAATAATAATTCTTCATTTTGTTTTTGACAAGGTAGATGTGTGATGAAAAACTTTACTTTTGTTTTATTGTTTAACAATTAGCATGTCTTATTATCTTGTCATCACAATTTCGATCATATGTTGTAAATCTTTGATCTATTTACTATCGACTTTTTTTTCTGTTGTTTCGATTATTTAAGATCTTATCATTATCAATCAGCATTCACTCTTTGAACATTAACAAACAAAGTAACAAAATGTTTAAAAGGAAATTCTTTTCAAAACAAACATCATTAAAAAGTTGACGCCAAGAATGATATAAAAATAGATAAACATGAACGCGACATACAAAGCCGAAGATTCGTACATACATGTACGCAAAGAAAATAAAACTTAGTAATAGATAAGACACGCTATTCTTATCTCATTTTTAACCAAGCAATTATTAAAATAACGAGGCATCGACTACTTGAATAAAAAATTGTCAAAAGATATAATAAAGAGTAAAAAACGCATATTAAAAACGATCATTGTTATTAGTTATTTTCTTCTTTTCGTTGTTAATATCCTCTAGCTAGATATGCATGTTCGAGTACTTGTTGAACACTTGCACGTCGACGTGGATTCGAACGTAAACAACGTTTAAGTATATCACGTAAATCTTTATCAGGATGCTCTGGTATAGGAATATTGCGTTTTAATCGACCTAAAAAGCCCAATTTTTCTTCGTTAGTACGCATGCGCTGTAATGGTCGAAAGCCAAATGCCATTTCAAACAGAATAACACCAAGCGCCCAAACATCTGCTTTATAACCACATTTCGAATGTGTACCAAGACCCAAACGAGATTTAACCATTTCTGGAGCTACATAATCTATTTAAGAAAAAAGAAAGAAAATAAAACTTCTATAGTATTTATTAATAACAAAAGTGACCTGGTGTCCCAGCAGCCGTTTTCAAGCGACTAGTAACATTTGGTGGTAAACGAAAACTAATACCCATATCAATTAATCGTAATGATGCACCGTCAGGACCAACTTGAATAAAATTTTCAGGCTTACAATCACCATGAACAAATCCAATTCGATGTAAGTAATAAATAGCTTCGACCATTTGTGACCAATATTGATATATAAGAGGTGGAGCCATTGGAGTTCCACTAGCCAAATGTCCAGCAATACTATCACGTAATGTGTTACCACGTTCCATAACAATTATTCCTTCACGATCATTACGTTCATGATTAAATACACGAATAACATAAGGATTTAATGGTTGTAAATATAAAAGCATTTTAATTTCTTTCGCAAATGATTGTTGTCGAGATATAGTATCAGCTTTAACATCACTTGAACCATGGGTAAGATTAACTATTTTAATAGCTACTGGTCGACCACTACGTAAATCACGAGCACCATAAACAAGACTATGAAGGCCATGACCAATTTGTTGTTCAATTTGATAAGGAACACCACGTACACTTATGCGACGACCGGCCATTAGACAATACTATTTCTTTTGATATTTATTCGTTTCTAATGATGAAACAAATCATGGCTATAATAGCAAACGTATAAATATTCAAACAAATGAACGTAACAAAAAGAAAACTGTGCCAAACCTTCACGTAACAAGGTCGCTTACGCATCAACGAATATAGAGAAGGTCGAAAATTCAGCAATTGTAAGAATAAGTACGTTTGTCGATGTCATTTTATGTTCTTCGTTTCTTTTCTTTTTTTCGTTTCATTATATCATATCATATCATAGAGAAAAATCAAGGATAATTCATAACTCGTTTTAATACTTATCTTTTTTCTCTGCTTTATCGAAGTTAGTCAAGCTATATTTAAAAACAAAATAGGTCGACCTAAATATTAATAGTTCATTTGTGAAGGTTTTTTCATGATGAGATATATAGTATCATTTATCATAACACATCTTTACGAATCGACACATTCAAGTTCATCATTTTGTCAAAAGAATATATTGGTATATTTATATATATATATATATCCCTGAAAAAAAGCGGTACGATTATTATCTAAGAGTATAATATTAGAGAAACGATTTATAAATATACGATTGAAATTGAATTGAATTTATTGATTATGATTATGTGATTTTGAGTTTTTAAAACGCATAAAAATATTAACTTGAAGTCTTTCAATTTTTTTTTCACATAGACAAAAAAGAACAATAAAATCTTTTCAAAAATATATACAATAACGATTAGAGTTCAACTCATCATATCGCCTCGTTTTGGTTTATCTTCAACTAAAATTAAAAAAACATACAAAAAATTTTAAATTTATTTTTTTCAATGATATCATCTACCTTTCCATAAATCACAAAATTCTCCATAAATATCTGCTGGGCATATACATTTGCCTGTAATTGAATGACATATACCGAGACCACATGGCTTACAGACATTTTTACATCCAATACCCCAACGATCGGATGGACACAATGTATTTGAAAATGATAAACCGTCATTTGTTGTTGCAGTTGCCGATGTCGACATATCTGTTGATGGTTGTGTTAATAGCATAAGAAGCGTTGAAGAAATAGTCGATCGAGATGTGATTGGTGTTGTTGATGTATTCGATATATTCATTATGTCATAATGATTATTAACAGTTGTATTAACAACAAATGGACGAATAAATTTATTTAGAAGAAAAATGCCGAAAGCAATAATTAATAATAGAAGTAACGAAATAATACATGTATATAAAGCTAAACTTTTATTTTCGAGATAGAAAAGTATAGGTGATGTACTATGAGAAGTATTTGATGAATAATGATTTTCATTATCATCAATTGCTTCATTTTGTGTATTATCATACAAATTTTCATTATCATGTGAAAGATTAATTAAATTTTGTTTAATATTATACTAAAAAACAAATAAAATTATTTCATTACAAAATACATATCTTTGATAGCATAATAAACTGACATTTTCAAGACATTCAATTGGGTTATCATATGTATGTGCATATTGATTATCATAATTTTCATGACTATGAATATACGATGATGATGAAGCTGATCCAACATCGTCAGCCATTTTTGCCCCATATAAAAGATTTTCACATATATTAATTGATGGTATCGGTAATGCTGTTAAATAAGAATGAAATGATTGATTTGTAGTCGATGAATATGTTGTTTGAACATAAGTTCGATTATTATATATAGTGTGATGACTATCAAACGACATTATTGTATGTGTTGTCATTTACGAGTATGAATGAATATCGTTAGAAAGAAAAGAGAGTTAAACAATTCAAAGCACAAAATCAGATTATATAATATCAATAGCACATTGAATAAAAATAAAAATAATAATAGTAATAATACCTTAAATACAAAAAAAATATTGAAGTGAACGATTTGACCAACAGTGAAAATTTACAGTTTTAGATCATTGTTGTCTTATAAATGGGTTGTGCAGTTCTTTTTCTTTTAATCGCTTTTATATTATATACATCAGAGTAGCAAAAGTGTACATAGGATGGTGACGCCGCCTACTCAAGAACGAGAAAAGAATCACTTTTTCTTTCTCACTCTCTTCTTCGTTGCTATTTTATTTTACATTCAAGTCAACTCGTTATGCTGCTTTTGTTGATATAAAGAAAACAACATATTGAAGTAGGCTCTATTCTCTTATTTAGTTTCTATCTTAAAAGTCAAACTAACACTTGACTGTACTGAAGCCTAGGATACTTGCTTTAAACTATCAAGTACTAACAAACCATTGTATAGATATATGTATATATACATGTATATATATATATACAGAAGAAGTCCTATCAAATCGAAAAGGAGAAGGAGAGACTAAGATATATAGTCAAACGAAAGATATTTATAATTCCGATTAAAAATTCTTCATGTATGGCTTCGAATAAAAGTTTAATTCAAGGATGAAATTTAGTATGAAAACATTAACTAATCGATACCTTCGTTTTGTTAATATTAAGTTTATAATCATCGTGTATTTATTCATATACGAATATAAATTATATGGCAATAACAGTAATAGCGGCGATAGGGCGATAGAGAGTTCAAATTTTCTTTTGTTTGACAATACTTAATGATAATAGAAATGTACACTTGTAGCCTTCTTCCACCTGATGATTGATGGTAGAAAGAAATTGGATACGTTTGACTCTGTAGAATTCTGGTATATATGTATACTGTGAACTTGTATGTGAAATAGAGCTTCAGGTCACATTGTCATTCACGTATTGATCTATATTTAAAAATGCGCTTGTGATTTGTGCTATAATCCCCTAACAAATGAGCTTTTTTTCTTTTCTCTTCTTCAATGGCAATGACATAAAGAAACATACAATCTACCACTCAATCAAACATATTGCAATGATAATTTCAAATTAAACGTAAACGAACGCCTTCAACTATGTATATATATATACATTATATATATATACAGACACTTTTCTTTAACATATACATATATATATATCGCGATATGTTGATATTATAAGGCGCATGCATGGTTTGATGAAATGAGTGCGAGATTGGTCATTGAGAGAAAAGTACTTTATTTACACTTGTTATTAATATAAATAAACAACATTGGTAAATAATTCTAAGTCTATATGAACATGTACAGTTAGATAATAAAAAAGAATCATGTATCTTTATTTCTGTATGAGTTATTATGTTTTGTTCGTTATTTTTTTCATCATAACATTCAAGTAAAAATTGTTTGTTTTTTTAATCGATGATTTTGCCATTCATTGATGGAATTCCATATTTTTTTATTATTTCTATTGTTTTCATACTTTTAAGATCATTAAATAAATGATTAAGTAAACATATTGTAAGACTTTTTTCTATTGTATTTTGAAATAAATGAATAATGATCATCTAGATCATTACCAAAAGAAAAGTAGATGAAATTCTTGGTTGTTCTTTTTCATTGACAATGAATTATGTAATAATCATTGATGATCAATAAATTTTTGCATAGTATTATTCAATTGATTCTCTTTAGATTCAAGTTTAATGTAAACATCATATAAATGTTTATTTTGCATATATAAATCAGTAATCTGATTTTTTAATTGTTCATCATTCGTTTGTTCGATTAGCAATCAGAATTTCTAAAGTCATATGATTTTTGGTATATTTTTTGAATTCTACCCCTTTTTCATTTAATTTTATTGCATAAATAGCAAAACTAGCATCTTTTCTAATGAAAGTAAGACGTAAAATTCGTATGGCAATATATACAAAATTTGTTGAACTAAAGGAATAAGAAAGTTGCTATTTAATAAAATGATTTAATGATCACAACATTAAACAAGATATAGTATTAAAAAAACATTGCGATCAATTCAATGAATTTCTTAGCTATGATGCAGTTTCTTCATGATATGCAATAACATGCATAACATCCATAAAATGTATGCATGAAATGTAGATCGATATCAGAAAAACCTCACGANACAGGCAAACCAGGGGTATAATGGTCATAGTTCGTTTCTTGATAAATATCGTACCAATTTGAATGGACGAGGCGGGTAAGATTTCATGTTAAAATTTCAAGCAGAAACAGGAGAATCATTTTAAGATTGATCTTGGAAAACTTCAGCACTAGGTCAGAGTATTCTGTAAATGTTTTACTACTTATCAAAGGAAGTATATGCAAATGACACATATAAAAACATTATTCGAGTTATTTATCAATTAAAAAGCTAAAAGATCAAATTGCTATTGAAAATTATTGATAAAAAAAGTAAGACTGATGATCTCTTTCATTCGCATCATGCCATAATAGCACATGATGAACATATATTCTTCATATGATTAAAAAAGCTCATAAATTCCTAGTCTATTTTTATAATAACTTGTTTTTTTTTTTTTTTTACTTCTTATATAGTACATCTACTTATGTTTCAAAATAGGTAGTTATTGAGCTTCGTAGATCATTTCATTCCTCCCTTTTTTACTTTTTAACTTATATTGCTTATTTAATACAAATGTATTCTTTTTTATTAAAAAAAAACCGGTTCGATTTATTATTTTTTTGATTTAGTTCTTATCAATGCATTGATTTCAAAGGTAAAATAAGACAGATAATTATAGAAAATCTATCCCATTCTGCTTTGCTTTAGAATTTTATTCTAATAAGTTTTCCTCATTGCTTCTCTGGAATAAAAACAAAAAGACAAAAACAACGAATTTAAATTTAATATTTTTTTCTATATAAATTTCTAGTGATAATTCTCAACAACGAACAAATTACGTATCAACACAACCACAAATATCACAAAACTATGGTAATAATATTAATACAGCGACATTACGTGCTGCAGGAAATGTTATTCAAGATGAACGATTTGGTAATGAAATTCTTGCTCGTGCTGGTCCAAGTCAATATTATCAACATCCACAATATCGTACTCAAGAAAGTAAAATAGAAAAAGCACACAACATGTCTATTCTTTAAAAACAAAATTTTCTATTGTATATACAGTTATTGCACCTGATGGTCGATTGGAAAATTTAAGTGTACAAATGGATAATGAACCATTACGTGTCGTAAAGCCAGCTGATCAAAATATTCATTATAAGCAACAGGTTAATGTACGCTTTTTGGAACCACCACCAGGACCTGAACCAGCACCAATTATCATCAAAGTAAATAACTAATTGATTTAAATTTAAATTTATATATGCATGTATTTAGGAACGTCAAGCACCAGCTCCACCTGCACCACCTCCAGTAGTTATTCGACAACGGCCACCAACACCACCAACACCTCCTCCACTTATTATTCGTAAGAAATTAATTTATTTTTTTTTGGTTTTAATTTTGATCATTTTTGAAATTAGGCGAACGTCCACCAACACCACCAGCTCAACAACAACCGCAAATTATTGAAAAAGTTTTACCACCACCACCAGCTCCACCTCGTCAAGTTATTGTTGAAAGACTTCCACCTCCACCGGCAAAACCACGTCAAATTATTTATGAAAAATGGTTACCTTATCAAGAAACAAAGGAACGACCAGTAATCGTCGAGAGAGCACCAGCTCTTGAAATGTAAGTAAAAATCGATACTAGATTTAATTTAATTTTAACAAATTAAATTTTAGTATTCGACCACCGAAAAATGTTATCATTGAATATGAACAACCGAAAGCTCATACTGAACAAATTGTCATTGATGAAGGTGTCTTTCGTGCTGATCCTCAATCGCATAATGCGACAAGTACCATTGGGTAATAAAGAAAATAGAAAAAAAACCTTCTTTTGTTTCATTAAAATTCTCTATTGAATTTTCTGTATAGTGAAGTACGTATTGTTGATAAAATAACCGATTTACCGGTGAATTATTCAAAATATTTAACAAATCGTCGTCCTGAATCGGTTCAATCTCGTCCAGCATCAAGTGCCAGTCAACAGCAAGCACCTCAACTACAGTTTAGTCAAACTGAACCGGCACAACAATATCGCTCAACAAGTTATAACTATCCAGGTTTATTTCTTTTTTTATACTGAAACACAAAAACGAAACAATTTCTAATGACGAGAATATATTTTAGGTGCTTATACAACAACTTATCGTGCATCATATACAAATCAAAGTCCTAATCGAAGTGGATATGGGCAAACAGGTGTTAACGATGCAAGTCGATCGGCAGTTTACACAAAATATGTCTAAAGGAGTATCATAGACAATATTTCACAGAGAGACTTTAGGATATCCTACCCATAAACGACCTTATTGTATCTATTTACACCTCGGATGATGATGGACATCCGAAATGAATGAGTTATTTTTTTTTTGGTCACTTTTCTCTCTTAATAATTTTTTCTTCTTCTCTTGATTTTATTTCAAATATATAAAATTTATAAACTTCACTTTTATTGATAATTATGATACAAAACAAAAATTTAATATCAGTATTGTTTACAACTAGGACAATAATATTCATTACGTTTTCCGAATTGTCGAATTCCATGACCATCGACATATTTATCATATCGATTGTTTTCAGCATGAGGTCGTTGATCTAGAAAAAAAAAGAGAGATTAGATACAAAAAGAAGCAATTTCTATCATAGAAAATTTACCAGAACATTCACAACATTGAGGTGTTGTAGTAAGAAAACAATAATGACCACATTTTTTATGTTGTCGACCTTTACGTTCATTTTTTTTCATTGCTGATGCTGCAGCTAAGATAAAAGTTAAAATTGTTGATGGTCTTGTTATTGTTTCTTCGTTTTGAACTTCATGAGCCAATTTAGCTTGTAATCGATGGGTATTGTTTTCATTACCATATATCGTTGATGCATAATTAGTTTGTACATCGACTAATGGAAGTTTGATAGTGGAATAGTCAACAGTATTTTTGGTCATATGATATAAACGTGATGCTTCTTCGAGATTATACGATACATTATATTCATGTTGCTTATTCAATGGATATCGACAAATAGGACCTTTACAAAGAATATACTTAGGAAAAATGACAAAAAAAATATGCATAACATACATTCATGAAGACGATTATGACCAAAAGTATGATCGATACATGTCGAGTGACCACAAACGAATGTTGTTGGACGATGTAGTAATGAATAATCTTCATAACAAATTGGACATCTACTCCAATCGTCATTCATTTTTAGTTAGGATTACTTTTTTTTTTTGAATAGTTTGAAAATGATGAAAGTGAATGTTCGTATCTGTTTTTTTCTCATAGAATATTTAACTAAAACTTATATACGATGACATATTTATGATATGAGTCAAAATATTATCTTTTTTTCTCTGACATGTAAGATGATATTTTTTTTGTCTACGTCATTGAACTTTAGGCGATGACGTAAAATAAATATATTGATGCATTCAAATTATCCTTAACTAGGAAGTAAAAGATAATCGACTGGGCTACGAATATATATATATATATACTTATGTAGCACTAAGAAAACTTCTATTGGTTACATTCATGGGCGGGCCGGCATAGGAGCGAGAGGGGGCAATTGCCCCCCCCCCCCCCCCCCCCCCCCCCCCCCAGCTCGTGGCGGCATGTCGGAAGGGCCCCGACACCAAAAACCGGTGACCCAGAACCAGTCACAACGACGCCGCGCGNCCCCCCCCCCCCCCCTTAAACAAATTTTTTTGGCTGGGACTTAAGAAGAACGCCATGAAAACAAGCGTTTTTAAGCGAAAAAGTGCTTATTGCCCCCCCTGAAAATTATGGTTCGGCCCGCCAATGGTTACATTGTAGAGATCAGAGCTCTGATAAACGGATCAGTGTCGTCTCGTGCAATAACGCATGACCATACATCATGGCAAAACGTTGCACGGAGCATGTGCTATTTTATTCTATGATTTGAGAATATCTAAAAGAACATTGAAGAAACAAATTAGCACTTATGAAACATGTTTACAGAACAAAGCAAAAAAGTAGCATGAGGTGCATCAGTTATAACAATGAACAGTACCATGAAGCTCTACGGTCAATTTCATTGAAGTCAACTAAGACTTAGAATTAACATATTTATGCTTTCGTTCTTAAACATGTAGACATAGAACTAGATAAACTACTATCACAGCAAAAATATGTGTATGAAATTTGTATGCATGAAACTATGCGTCTTGAAAACAACATTCCAACATCTCGAGCATTTAGTTAAATAATGCAGTCATATTTTATTATTATTCATTGAAATGAAATACTGTGTTGAATAGTTTAATGATAAAACTCATCCCGATTATCACTTTACATATCGCTATTAAAACTAAGTGAATTATAATGATTTAAGATGTAGAATGTAGAATAGCATGAAAGTAAACAGACTTTAGTCTTTTCATCATTTAGACTATTACAGATGATGACATCTGTAGAAAATCGAACAGATGCAAAAAAATGATTGGTATTACTAGTGGAGCAAATCGATGAGGACATATGTATTTAGATATAGATAGATATACATATATATTCGTCCTGTGAGGGATTTCTCATGAAACAGAACAAAATTTCTCATTATTTTTAACCTTAATAAATTATCATCATTGAGTATACTTAAGTAAAAAAAAAATGATAAAAATGAAAAAGAAAAGATTACCTGTGTAGAATGTGTGTTTATGCCAAAGTTCATGTTTTTTTATTTTTCCTATCTTCATATTAAATATTTAACATAGTAGCCTATATATATATATGTTTTATTCATTTACGTTTAGATTCCTTATTTTTTAATATTATTATGAGTACAACGAATAGTTTCAATTATTTATTCCTCAAAAGATTTGCTCATCTTCTTCATGTTTTTGTTCCTTTTTCTCGTCTTTCATTAAATGTTCATAATCATAATGAACGAATATATACACATCCATTGATTCTTTTGTTACTTATACTTATCAATGAAGTTGGTTTACAATTTGTTATTTATCTTGTTGGTTTACTTCCATCTCAATTTTATGTTGAATTAAGTAAAACACCTGATAAACGTGATTTTGCAATATTTCGTTGGTTAGTTATTCGTTCATTTGGTTATGTGACATTAAACGCATTTCTCAAATCACTTTCAACCTTTTTATCTTCAATACTTTATGTTAAATGGCGTATGAGACTTGTTCTTTATTTACATTCATTCTATTTTACACAACAACGTTATTATCATTTATCAAATACAACACAACAAAATCAAAATAGAAATGATGATGATCATGTATCGGCATATGAAAATCATTCAATACAAACGTAAGATAGATATGAAGAGATATTTGATGAAATGTTTTTTTTTTTATTTAAATTTGTTGGCTTTTTTAGTGTAGACATTGCTGAGAATGCTCAAGAATCAATTGGTTATATGCCAACGGAAAGTTCTCAACAATCAGTATCAACACAACCACCAATTGATAATCCTGATCAACGTATAACTCAAGATGTTGATTCATTATGTCGAACATTATCAATCATAATACCTCTTATTGTTATATCACCGTTTACGATTGCTTATTATACTTATCGTACTTGGAAAATAACTGGTTATTATGGTCCATTAGCAATAATAGTCTATTTTATACTATGGACTTGTATAAATAAAATACTTATATCAGCTGTATCACGAACAATATTTCGACAAAATATATGTGAAGGTAATTTTCGTTTTCTTCATACACAAATTCGAACACATAATGAACCAATTGCATTTTATAATGGTGGTTCATTTGAACACAAACGATTTGATAATTATTTTATACAAATTCTTACACCATTACTATATCGTCGAACAATTCAGGAATTTTTTCTTAGTTTATCAACAAATTTATTTGATTATATTGGTAGCATATTAAGTTATCTTTTATTAGCATTAGCAATATTTGTTTTTCATTTTTATGATAATGTACCATCTGAACAATTAGTTAAAATAATAAGTCAAACATCATTTATAACAATGTATCTTATTTATCGTTTTAGTCAATTAAATGATTTAACCGATAAATTAACAGTAATTGCAGCTAATACACATCGTGTACAAACATTTGTTGAATATATGATAAATATTGATACAACATGGTCAGAAAAACAATTAAATAGAACTATACAACAAAATGAAATTCTTATCATTAAAAATCTTTCATATTCAACACCGAATAATAGTAAACATATTCTTATGAAAAATCTCAATTTAATATTGCATAAAGGACAACGTCTATTAATAACAGGTCTCATTTTGAATTTATTATTTATAATCTAATGTCGAAAATTTTATTCATGAATCTTGTAGATAACAGTATTTGATATTAAACATACTTAGATTAGAGTGAATGAAAAATATTGCAAAGAAAACTCAAATGTTCAATATGAATAATACAACGGTAGACGTTGCATCTGAATCCTTGACACGGTTCGAATATCGAATAAAGTGAAATTATCTTGAAGATTGATATGCAGTGTTGAACATCGTATTTATATTGAACTATTGAGTTTCTTCAATCAAATATTGATTATAGATGTTAGAATTAAAGAATATATGCTAATCAAACAAGACTGTAATAGACTAGATATGGAATTAGTTCGGTTTAAGAAGAAAATGCGAATTGTTTTCGTTGATAATTGATATTTTAATGCATTCGTTAGCTAATTATAAGTTTTGACTCGATTCGATTCAATTCCAAGAAAATTCTAAACCGATCCTATCTTTTTACTAGATACAACTTTTTATTTAAATAGGTTGTGCATATATTTTCATTTTATGTTTTCAATCAAACTTCTTGATCTAGATCGAACATATAACAAGTGAACACAAAAGATCTGTTAAAATTTATTTCAGATTATACAAATCTATTTCTTTCATACGAATCTTCAGATAATTTTTATTCGATCAAATATTTAAAGAATAGTAGTTGGAAAATTTTCTAAGACACTAATAGATTCCGTTGAAATGACTAAGATCTGTATTATTGCATACTCAGTATACCAGTCATTGAAAATGATTTCTTCAGTAGAAACATTACTTATTCAAATATATTGTCATTCACTACAGTTGATTTCATTTAATTTAGATAAAAATTGGGTAAAAAACTCTTTAGTTTCAAGACTAGACGTATATCTATTATCTATCAAACAGTATTTCGATTTAGTTTAGACAGCTTTGATGTTAATTGAGATTTTAGTCATATTTTTATGTTCCAATGACTCTAATCATTATGAACTATATCGAACGCCTTTATATACTTCGAGATGTAACGAGAGGAGTGTGTAATACCTAGCCATTTCTGAAAAAAAAAATTTTTTTTCGAACAATAACACAGAAAAAGTGCTTTTCCAGATGTTTACAGCTACTGGATGACTATAAACGAAAGCTTAAATTTTTTGTTAATTTTTGAAAAATCTGAACTGTATTTATTTCTATTTCTCTTTGTGTAATCTTTATTTATAAAATATATCGTATCAAATGTGAACAAATTTTATTCCAAAGTTCACAAAATGCGTTTCATCTAAAAAAATTTCTAAAGCAGCTAACATTTTGAAGATGACAACAATAAAATATAGAATGCCTTAAGAGGTCAATTAATTTGCGAAACACAATCTAAAAGGATTATTGAAGTATATAGGTTAGAAATTTGCATCCACCTTCCACAAACCGTAACAGGCATCTTAGCAACAATTAAAGATATACGGGACGGGACCACGAGAAAAAAACTATATCGGGACAGGAATACAAGTTTACAGTAAATATTTCGTTCTGCACATCTCTTGCAACGACACATCACGGGTGTTACAGACGTCTCTGTCAACGTTTGTTCTGCATCACACACCTTGACAGACACCTTAATAGCAATCCCGCATTAAAGACCGTGACAGATGCCTTAGTCATCCTCTCTCCTCGTCATAGATTGTAATAGACGTTGTTGATACATGATCAAAGATCATATATCTATAACGTCTTGTTATAATATTTGAACTAATTGCTTATCAAATTTCTGAAGAACTAACTAAAAGGTTGGTGAAGAAATGTATCTCTTTTAACCTTGCATGGATTGCATTAACAGGTTTTTCTTTTGCTAATAAGTAATGTATATTAAATTTTAGGTGATAGTGGTATTGGTAAAACATCCCTCTTTCGTGTCCTTCATTCAATATGGCCGGTGAATATAAATGGATCTT